AAAACTTTCTATACAAATAAACCAAACAATCAGAGTGTCATCTATTAACTTCTTTTTTTTTTAACACCCGTTAAGATTGTGATTTTGCGGCACATTGATGAGTACAGGTTTCCAAGAGCACCATATCCACGCACGCAACATACCTCTGTCATCTCATCTGAAACGTTACTGGAAACATTATTTCCTCCATTGGTTAAACCTTCATTATTTGATAAAGAATGGCACTTTGGGTTTTCGGTCTCAGACATTTTCTCCATCCCTCAACTTTTCCCTGGCTGTCCTTACGCAGCAGATACATCCAGTTCGCAGGAAATCCCGTCTCGAAAAAGTTTATCTTGCTAAACGAAGCGAATTTCCGAATCATAGTATGGCGAAGGCCTCTCTATTAAAAATTCATGACCCACGCCTTCGTAAGTTGAAAATGACCGAGCATTGCCAAATTAATATTTAGTAGACAAGCCATCTCACCAATCAACCTGAGCATGGTCTAATAAACATGAAGAAGTCCCGCCTTCCATTGGAAATAAGCCTGGCGTTGATAAGATGAACGCTCTAACTAATTAATATTCATAAGATAAGGCCTCGCCATAGTAGGATTCGATTGGTTAAATCCCGCATATTACACACATACGTGTGGTACTTGGCTTTAATCTTCAAATAAACAGTTCTTGGGTGAATAATATAAATTGTATGGAACATCAAGAGCATATATATATATATATATAAATATATATAAAGTGTATACTGTTTCTTTAAACAGAGTTTGCAATGTGGTGTATTTCGACTGGTCATGTGACTGAATCCAGCGGAAATAGAGGAGGAAACAGCCACAGGCTGAGTTCTGTAGGGACATCTGGATGAAAACACCCCAACGACTGTCTTATGCAACACAGAAATTTACTCTGAGACCTCAACAGAGGAGGAACATCACAGCATCGTATAATTTAGTGTTAACTTAACGTTTTTCAGTAGACTGCCTATAACTATTACCTTTCAAAAAAAACAGTGAAAGAGCCTGTACCACAAAAAAAGAAACCAACGACTATAAAACTTTATATAATATTTATTATATTTTAACAAAAGTGATTTTTATAAACGCCATAGAGTGAAAGATCAATACAAATCTATATAAATAATCTCTGAGGATAATCCTTTAGTCCTCATGTTGAATATAAAGAGAAATATAAATGATTTGAATTGATTACAAGTAAATTTAATTGAATTTGAATTGTAGTGTTTTGAGTGCGCACATTTGGCAATAATTTACAGTTTTATATATATATATATATATATATATATATATATATAATCATTTTCATAACCCTATGAATTCCCTTCTGATGCTAAAATCCATTGTGCCATTATGCACTGTAAACTGACAAATGTTGAATAAAAATAGTTTAAAAGAGAAGCATTGTGATCAGGAAACGGTTTCAAAACTTCACAAAAGTTTTTTGACAAACGGCCAGCTATGATTTCTAAAAAGATATTCATATTTCATCCACAAAATTGAAACATTTATTAATAAACAGTGCCTAAAATGGGTTTCATATTCAACCTCTGTTAAAAGAAAACATTGTCAAATTAATCTGGGTAGAAGAGGGTTCTTCCTGATGGAGGAGTAAGCTCCGATATGCTTGATGATATTGGGTTCAACGCTGTGTGCCTTCTCACCTGGCGTCGACCTGGCTATCTTGTACAGCACCATGTCTTTGGCATTACCCCTAGCACAGACGGCCTGGTCCAGGTATTGGGCGGCTCGGATGGAGGCATTACCTGGGTAGAGCATAGCAGGGGTGCAGCATTCAGTGGCAGGAGATACAGCATACAGCTGGGGTGAGAGCCGTCTGATCTCCAGCAGATAGTGCCTCCCTGCCAGCTCAGACACGGCCATTATGTAGAGAGTTAAGAAGAGTAGATGAAGAGGTGAGAAGGTAAAAGAAAGAGGTGTACAGTGAGATAACAAGAGGAGGAGGATTGTAGCCCCGAACAGGCCGAGACCCAGCCATTCTAGAATGCGATACGGCTCCGGGTTCCAGTATCTCTGAAGACGTTCCGGGTGGTAGAGCTTTATGTATAAAGTATTGAGGGCAAATCTCCGCGAGAGTACGTTTTTAATAAACGGAAAGAAATCGGTCATCGGAAGTGCATCATCCTCCAGGACGACGACGTTTTTTGGTCTCATCAGGTCCCATCCTTTCCGCAGGCAGAAAACGTAATCTCTTTTCTCCTTCTCGAAGATGTTGGCCACATCTTTGCTGTTCCATTTCTCATCTGGTGAACGTCTAACAACCAGGAACTCTTTCTCCAGAAGCAAAGCATCTTCGTTCAAAGCGGGACCACTTTCGACATCACAGAGCATGACCTCAGCACATGGTTTATCGCCACATGCCTTAAGGAGCGATTTGAGCTGTTGTGCCACCTGTAACAGGTAGTGATAGTCCCTCCCCTCTATTCTCATGGATGTCACTATGGTGATGAGGAGATCTGGTTTCTTAGCATCCGTTTCCAAAGGGTCCTTTAGGCTTTTCGTAGAGGCAGCACTCTCCCAGAAATGCAGGGCTTCCTGACCTCTGTCGTGGCTTTTTTGTAGTGATGCCTCGCTTAGTGAATCAAGATAAACACTCTTTAAAAAATAATATGAGTAAAGTAGACGATGGCAGCATATAGGCAATATCACTCCAAAGGTTAAAACACACAAAACCAACCCTTGAGCTACTGGGCTTGACCAACGAAAGTACTTGCTGGTACATGTCCCCCATCGAGGCATCTGTGTCTGTTTAAACAGATCACAATTCACTTCTGTGACAGTTCACTTCAGTGCCAAGGTGACTGATACGTTGCACAGGTGGAGGATCCAGATTTGAGCCAACGTGCAGAAAAAAAATCACTGAAGTACTCACATATGAGATTATAAACTTCTGAGATATTTCCAACTTGTATCTATAGACAAAAGAGATATAGGGAGTTATAATCTTATTTTTTCTTAATAACCATTAAACGTGATTTTATAAAATTCTGGGTGATTCCATACATTCAATATTGAAAAGATGATTATTTTTAGGTACAGTAAATTACAGTAAACCCTTAACACATAACCTACGTTTTTTAAATATTCTTATTAAATAATAATAGCCTAAATATTATAAATATTGTCAAAATATGATGTACGGTGTATAACGTACTCCATGTGATTCATGTACTTTTTGATGTGTTATATATATTTTTTTATAACATATTATAAAAGTTAGTGTCAGTATTTCATATTATGAACATATAGTCTTGCGACACTCAAAAACTACTCTTTTCATGAAATTACCCTTCTTTCTGTGAAAAACAACTAAGTACAGGCAGTTTGTGTGGTAGAAAGCATGATAAAACAAATGAGTCAGCTTATCATAACAAGAAAACAAACCCGGAAGAATCTTATTTATCAGTCTGTAAATGGCCCGAAAAGTTAAATAAGAAATGAAACGAGAAATAAAGTATTTCAGCATTTCTACCTCTCAGAATGTGGATGTTTAGCACACAGCGACTAGACGACAGCAACCGAAAGCAGAAATCTTGTCAAAACATCACTCGAGTCAAGATGACCTAACGTTACGTAGCCTACTACGTGCTGCTACGCGCGTCAAAGCAGGTCCACATATCGATTACGACGAATACGTATTACTGTAACACATGGACAAAATGCGCATTTAAATCACGGGGAAGCAATGTTAACCGTTTCTTAAGGGGTAGAACATTGAATGGCTCATAAAGCTGAACCTTCTATTGATTCAATTCGCATTCAGGGCGGGTTTTTTATATGTGTGTGTGTTTAAAAAAACGTAGCTAGAGCTCAAAAATGACTGTGATTGGTTCATCATAGCCAACGCTGAGTAAAGTAACAGAACACACGTGACAACTCCTTGAAGTGCTGTAATCCCCACACCAGACACTAGATGGGAGTGTAAGGTAAAAGACGGTCTGAAGTGAACCAACCATCTGATGCGGGATAAATATTCAATGTTCAATATTCAAGGTTTTTGGTATGTTGAGTTTCGTGATAGTATATGCAGATAAAAATAGGGAAGTAATTAAGCTGTGCAATAGGTAAAGGGGAACAAGTACGTTTCCTGTAAATTACAGTCGTGTTTGTTAGTCTGAACATGTTTTAATGTGTCTAGTATCATCGCAGTGGATTTCAGCATTAACATCTCAATAAGTAGGCTACATAAATAATAGAAATCACCTAGGCCTACTAAAAACTTTCAAGCTTACAGGTAAAGCCTGAAAAAGAACGTAGGCTATTAGGCCTACCATAGGCTACATACCCTACAACTTAATCAAACATACTAAAGCCTGGATTTTTCCTCATAACCACCCGGTAATAAAATAAGACATTGCAAAGAATCAAGCCTCACCTGGATAGGCTATTGTAAGAAATATTTAATTTATCACTCAAAAAAATCTAACTGAATCCTGAGTCACGCTTTGATCAAATCTGAACCACCCTTGTAACCAGATCGATGACTTCTTAGGAAACATGTTTCAAGAACATATTTTTAAATGTTTAATTTTTTGTTTAATCTAATAGTCTTCGACATGGGTGCTTGACTGTCAACATGGCAAATGTTGAGATAAAAATCTTTAATTTTAAAATAGCCTAATGAATTTTGCTCAGTTTATTGTTTCCCATATTTTGCATTGACATAGGCCTATTGATCACCACCACGAATTGATAAATCGGTTGGATTAGAATATCTAGTAAGATGTTGTTGTTGTTATATCTACATATGTTGTTGTATGCCTTCGGCCTGTAAAAAAAAAACACTAAAGAAAGTTGCCATGGTCGTTTGAAAGACAACAACCAACAACACTGTCAAAAATGAATGTGCACAAATGTCTGGCAAGAAAACAGCAGCTTGGTGAATGGTGTGCACAGGGTGGGTCATGGAATGCATCAAGATGAACAGGTCTGTCCAGCATCTGCCAGCCTCTTAAATAAAGCATATCTTCAGCATTTCTCCACATTCATTTTACCTGTGCATAGAGGACACTCAGGTGAACACATGGCATCCAATACAGGGCAAACGGGCTACCTACCCACCGGAGCGGCCTTATTCTGCACCATACCCGACATCTTCTACGTAGTAGAGCTTGTGAGTTGATTTTATTCAATTAATTTAATTTGATGTAAATTCAAATACTACTGATTAGTGGTACCTACACTGTATACAAATTATTGTTGGTTTAACTTAAAAATGTAATGGTTGCCTAAAATGTTAAGTTCATTGGAATTAAAAAATTGAGTTAATACAATGAAGGAGATTGGTTTACAAAAAAATATTATGTTATCTGAACTACATAAATTAAATTAAGTTGATTTGACAAAATAAAAATGTTTTGATAACAAATAATGAAAATATTTTTTTTACAGTGTAGCCTACCGTATTTATTTGACAACCATAATTGTGAGAATTCATCCCGGAGAATCTAGCCTCCTGATTTATTTTAATTAACAGTCATTTAAAAAAGAAAACAAATATTAATAGAAAATGCATACAATTATGTAAATGATAAAAAATACAGTTTGTTAATCTAATGACTATATTGTTACATCCAAGTTATTTAAAATTATTTGATTCATTATTGTAAGTGAATACATACACACATAAAAACTAAGCAAATCTGTAATCTTCAAAAAATTTCAATAGGCCACATAAATGTCAGAATGTTTTTTATTCTATTTTATTTCAATGTCATTATTTTCTCTTATGTCCAATTGAGATGTTTACTGTTTGATATCCATGTAATATTTCAGGAAAAGGTTTAAAACAATTAATAAGCAAATATGTTCACGGGGGAAAGAGAGTTTTAATTTTTCATCTATTTAAAAATATATTGGTAACACTTTACAATAAGGTGAATAAGTTAACATTAGTATACCTTACTTAACATGAACTAAGAATGAACAATACTTCTACAGCATTTATTAATCTTAGTTAATATTAATTCCAACATTTACTAATACATATTAAAATCAAAGCTTGTATTTGTTAACATTACTTAATGCACTGTGAACTAACATGAACAAACGATGAACAGCTGTATTTTTATTAACTAACGTTAACAAAGATTAATACAGTAACAAATGTATTGATCATTGTTAGTTCATGTTAGTTACTACATTAACTAATGTTAACTAATGAACCTTATTGTAGAGTGTTACCAATATATTTTCTTGTAGAAAAAGTACAACTATCTGGAAGCTCATTCTTTCATTATGTTTATCTCTTAGGTTTTTGGCGGTCTGGTGTTGTGTCTAGTAGCATCTACAAAGCTCGTGTCACCCTTCGAGATTGCCGTCCTGCCAAACTCCGACTTAACCGGCTTACTGACCGTGTCAACCCCCAGCAACCCCCAGGCGTATGTGATTACTGTGACAATTTTCTGTTTCCTCATGACATTCACCTGGTTGATAGTCTTTGGCACTGGGTGTCATCGTAACAAAAGCTCTTGGGCAAGCGCGGTAGGTTCATAATCTCTCTCTTTCTCTCTCTTACTTTCTCTCTTTCTCTCTCTTACTTCCTCTCTACTCATGAAGACATTTTCCTGTTTTAACATTTACTTAAATTTCTCTCCACAGGATGTTGCATGCCATGGATTTGCATCACTCCTCTATCTCAGTGCTTCTGTGCTTCTAGCTTTAGTAACCATTGCGTTTGGTCTTGTAAACAAAGACGCCATTAATTACAAGCTGAATATAGCTGCCGTGGTGAGTCCCTCTAGCCAAAATCAAATTTCCAAATCTAATGCTGTATTACCTGTTAAATACGAATATAACTAGTAGATATTGGTGAAATCTGTGAACAAAAATGACAAAGCTGACAAAGTTCTGGATATTTAGAGTACACGTAACCTCATTCAGGTTAACCTAGCTTCATGTAGAAACAAAAAACTTATTTAACATGAAATCAACTTAAATACATTAGATTACACAAATGAAAGCCATGTTAAAAAAGCAACTGTACATTTTTCCCGTTGGAAGTGTATGTGATTATTTGTCTCTTTAATTTCAGGTGTTTGCCTTTTTCACCACTACACTGTATGTCATCCACACCATTTTCTCAGCCCTCAGATGGAAATCCTTCTAAAGCATCTGCACACAACCTGATTTACTCATATGATTGTCTGCCTCATTAAGCAAAGTTATTACAAATGTCATATAATGCATCAGTAATAATTCATGTGATAATAGATTTACTGTCCAGGCTTCTTGTGTTCTATAAAATGTATACAGACTATTTTTTAAAACCAGTTTTTACTTTTTTTGTAAACTAGTCTCACCTTAGGTATAAATTATTGTCATTTCTGTATGACTTATCTAATAAAGGAGATTATGAACGATCTTTGGGGTGTGATCTCTTGGTGTGTCACTGGATACATATGTGTCTCTAGGGCTTCAAATTGCCCTTTATTTTTAAATATAAAAGATTTTCTGGAATGAATCACCTGCTTTTACAACATTCTGCCAGTGTGATGAACCATAAAACAATTTTTTACATTTCCAAAAAAAAAAAACGTTATTAACGTAATTGTATTGTTTTTAAGTGACTTTGCAGTTGCTACGGTTTTTGGTCTTTAGCATGATCCTACATAGACCTTCTGTAGCCCCGCCCCTTGTTCAGGACTACGCTTGTTGTGTTCTGTCTTCCGGTTTGTATTTCAACACCATGAAGTTAAAATCTTACAGATTTATGAATGAACCGCTCATTTTGAAATCTTCCCAGTCTGACATTTGTAATGACTTCCGCTTCAAACGTTACAATGCTCATGAAAACATTCGTTAACTAACTACACAATTAGTAAATCCACTTCACCAGCTAATTACTCTTCGACAGCGATGCCATAGAAATATTCAAGTTCAAACACAAATTCTAAAGATGGCTGCACACTTGTTTCTCTGGTGCGTAAGACCTATATACACTCTTTAAAAAGGTTATTTATTGGCATCAATGGTTCTATGATGAAACTTTAACATCCATGTTATCTTTCCAACGGAGTCCCTATTTCAGTGCTTTTGTGTCCTCTTTCAAACATCGTTCCCCCAAGAAACTTTGCATTCACTCGCAAAAAAACTTGGGTTTCTGAGTGCACACAAAGTTTCTCTGGGAAAAGCAAACATTTTGCATGTGAACGTAAAGTATCTCGGGGGAACGCAAAACATTTAGCAACTTTTTTTTTTCCTATCGCCATGTCCCTTTAGGGGCTCCATTTCAAAAGAGGTTCTTTTGATTATTAAAATGTTCTTTACAATAAAGAAAAAATTGTTCTTCTATATGGCATCACTTAAAAAGAAATCCCTTTTGGAACCTTTGTTTTGTAGCTATATGGTATTCTGCGTGGATGCTTACAGGTCAAAAAGTCACTCAAATCTAGAGATTTTATGCCCATGTTAGTGTCCACTGGGTGGACAAAGACTGTTTGCTTATAGAATGTAGAAATATAGGAAACTTATGGTATTATTCAGTTAGCATATCTTTGCATTAGCAAAGCACCACAAATAATGTGGTCATGGATAGCCGTTATGACAAGTAACAAACCCAGTAACGAGAGTATAGTAGATGTAATCGCAGCATTTCAGTAAGGTTTCTTTTTTTGTGTGTCATTTTTGTTGTAGTCTGTGTATTTTGGTGTGTCTTTCTGTTCCTTAAAGCATTTGGTGTGTCTGTTTTTGGCTTTTAAATTTCTTGCTTTTCTAGAACTGGTTTCAACTGTTTAACCTGGTTTAACCTGTTCTTATGGGGTTTGGAATGACGTATGAGTAACATAACACAGGGAGTGTGAGTTCACACACGTCTTGAACAGGGGACAATTGGGCCCTGTAAGGTGATGTCTGGGAACTGTATCAAAATGTTTAATTCATGAGGGCAGGACAGGTGGTGAAAAGACTCCAAGAGTCCAGGTGCATTATACTATAACATAATTACTTCTAAGTATTTGTAGATCCCAAAAGCCACACTAAAAATGTATGAATGCCATTGCATTAGATAATAACATATGAATGGTCGCCTTTGTCTTTTGGCTTGCTTAGTTGGGGACACTTAACATTCAACAATATTATTGATCTGCCTTTGACACCAGTATATGTGAATTGTTTTCTCCAGAGCAGCTATATACACTCACCTAAAGGATTATTAGGAACACCTGTTCAATTTCTCATTAATGCAATTATCTAATCAACCAATCACATGGCAGTTGCTTCAATGCATTTAGGGGTGTGGTCCTGGTCAAGACAATCTCCTGAACTCCAAACTGAATGTCAGAATGGGAAAGAAAGGTGATTTAAGCAATTTTGAGCGTGGCATGGTTGTTGGTGCCAGACGGGCCAGTCTGAGTATTTCACAATCTGCTCAGTTACTGGGATTTTCACGCACAACCATTTATAGGGTTTACAAAGAATGGTGTGAAAAGGGAAAAACATCCAGTATGCGGCAGTCCTGTGGGCGAAAATGCCTTGTTGATGCTAGAGGTCAGAGGAGAATGGGCCGACTGATTCAAGCTGATAGAAGAGCAACTTTGACTGAAATAACCACTCGTTACAACCGAGGTACGCAGCAAAGCATTTGTGAAGCCACAACACGCACAACCTTGAGGCGGATGGGCTACAACAGCAGAAGACCCCACCGGGTACCACTCATCTCCACTACAAATAGGAAAAAGAGGCTACAATTTGCAAGAGCTCACCAAAATTGGACAGTTGAAGACTGGAAAAATGTTGCCTGGTCTGATGAGTCTCTATTTCTGTTGAGACATTCAGATGGTAGAGTCAGAATTTGGCGTAAACAGAATGAGAACATGGATCCATCATGCCTTGTTACCACTGTGCAGGCTGGTGGTGGTGGTGTAATGGTGTGGGGGATGTTTTCTTGGCACACTTTAGGCCCCTTTGTGCCAATTGGGCATCGTTTAAATGCCATGGCCTACCTGAGCATTGTTTCTGACCATGTCCATCCCTTTATGGCCACCATGTACCCATCCTCTGATGGCTACTTCCAGCAGGATAATGCATAATGTCACAAAGCTCGAATCATTTCAAATTGGTTTCTTGAACATGACAATGAGTTCACTGTACTAAAATGGCCCCCACAGTCACCAGATCTCAACCCAATAGAGCATCTTTGGGATGTGGTGGAACGGGAGCTTCGTGCCCTGGATGTGCATCCCACAAATCTCCATCAACTGCAAGATGCTATCCTATCAATATGGGCCAACATTTCTAAAGAATGCTTTCAGCGCCTTGTTGAATCAATGCCACGTAGAATTCTGTTCTGAAGGCGAAAGGGGGTCAAACACAGTATTAGTATGGTGTTCCTAATAATCCTTTAGGTGAGTGTATATAAATGAACTAAATTAATGACTTTTTTACAACAAAAATAAAGCATCACTGAATTTACTTAAGCTGCTATGACGCTATTTTCTTGAAAGAAAGAAAGAAAGAAAGAAAGAAAGAAAGAAAGAAAGAAAGAAAGAAAGAAAGAAAGAAAGAAAGAAAGAAAGAAAGAAAGAAAGAAAGAAAGAAAGAAAGAAAGAAAGAAACGTTTTGAACAACATAAGGGTTAATAATAACTGAATTTTCATTTTTTGGAATGTCCCAATGTAAATCTAAATTACATGTAACTCAAATTATTAGTTTTACTTAACCCCTTAAAGGGGTTTAAATTTATTTTCAAAATAAATTACAGAGGAGCCGTAATTTATCAATTTGCAACAATAATATTTTCATACTCTTAGACCTTTATTTTGAAATAGTGATGAACATGAAAAATCATGAAAGAAGGGTAGAAACCTCAGTTTGTTTTCATGCCAAGAGTTCAAAAGATAGCATCCATTAAAATTATTTTTAAAAAAAAAGGTCTGAATTTTTTTTTTTTATATAAAGAAAAAAATTATATGATGTGGCAGGAAGCTAAAATGCACATCTGTGTTCTTTTTATGTTTCTTAGAGGTTGAAATCATATCAAAATCTGCCAAACTTCTCATATTACTTCTGAATAGGATGTCTACTTCATAAATTGTATGAAAATTGTGGAAATAATGGTTCATATCACTCAAAACACATATGGAAATGGAGGCGCCCTTATATGGGCAGTAATGGAGTCTGGTTGTCATCTAGTGAAAAAGTTTGGTACTGCGCCCAAACAAAATCTTACTGAAAGCTCATTTTTTGAGATATCAACCTAAAATTTGAAACACAACTTGTTCAGATTTTTGGCTTTGATTTTTATGCAGTTTTAGAGTCGCCCAGGTTTTGAAAATATGTATTTTATATAAAATATGAATAATTAAATTTTTTACATTGTACATTTTCATAAACTCAAACTTCTATAACTTTTTTTCTGTTTCACTTTCTTAATTTATTTCACTTCTACAAAAATCTGCCAAATGTCTTCTTTAAAACAAGACCAATCTTACGTCTATATTCCAAAGCATTCTTGAATTACAACCATTTAAGTTCGAAATGTGCATTTTCATGTATATTCAAAAAAAGGGGGGTGACACTTAAAGGGTTAAATTATTTTTAATTAGTTGCTAACAACTCTTGACTTGTAAGCCACATTTTCATGATTATTTGATAAAAAATAATGTTATTATTTTAATTAAAAATATGTCAATTTTAGCCCTGGCATTTTTTTTTTGGACAAATTTAAGGGGCTGAAATTAACTTATTCTCTGAAAACATATTCTATGTTATTCTCTGAAAATCTTCCCATGCTATGCTCTCAAATCTCATTCATGTTACTCAGATAAATAATATGACAATCATTTGCATTGTGATCTCTGTCAGAGGGTATAATGACTTATAACTTAACATACATTTTATAGTGTCTTTTTGTTACATTATACGGTTTCAGAAGCTTATAACACAACTCATAACACACGAGTTGTGGATTTACGTATATGATCCTTTTTTTATCTTTTCTTGGACTTTTTTGGAGCTCACCATGATACTTATCCATTTTTATGTAAATTGTTGCTTTAAATTGAACGAGACAAGTGTACATAAGAATGGATTCATGATTCATGATGATTTACAAAAAAAAATCTGCTTGTATTAATGCAATGAAAGTGAATGGTGACTGGGGTTGCATTATGCCTGAGACCTGCTTTTGGGTGTGAAACGGGTTTGAAATGTCACAAGGATGAGGAAATGATTTCAATTTCACAACTTTAATAACATTATTAACAGTAAATGTTGTACTCTATATAGTGTTGATATGGCAACTAGTAAATACACTAAGTTTCGTCATGCTGGCATGTGTGGAAGTATTTAAAACAAGTGTGTTGGCGCAGGGAATACTGTTTTGCGGTCCAAGCCTGTACTTGTTTCTAGTGAGGATACT